CTCCCATTCTAGAAACCTGACAAATATCCCACCACACGGGCCTGGTGGTGGTAACCCTCGGCACCCCCGGTGTCTCTGGACAGCGGTGCGGTCGACTGAAGCTCACGACCACACCTGTATGAATCAGCTGTGAAGGTAGTCAGCCAATAGTCTGTCTGTCTGAGTGAGATGATTTCATACAAGGTCGGATCTTGAAAGATGACAAGGATACGCTGTACATAATTGGCACGTCACACGTATTAGGTCTGATTTATGCTCCGTCGCGCCTCACTTTTGATAATTGTCGCTCGACAAAACTTAATGACTCGAGCAACATTTTTGATTTATGCCCCAGCTAAAGGTTACAGTCGTCTCTGACAACCTCCGGCCGGCACATTCAGTTGCCTTTTCTACTGTACCCTGACTGGTTCTGTTAACCGCTTCATTAATGTCAATATCTGGAGAAAAGTTTTCTGTTCCCAAACGACATTACAGCACCATCTGAAAACTCTGGAACTCAGGCCAAGTAAAACTAAAAAAGGTCACAGAATTATTATTCTGGCAGATTCTGCAATCTACAGACCGAGATGACTCCACAAAGGCGTGTGTTTCAATTAAAAACACACAAGTAGCAGATTATATATAGCTAATTTCAGTATAGGGCATTCCTTTAATAGACAGGGAAATAATTTTGTGTCACATACAGGAAATAGTTGATTTAAACATTCAAGCTGCAGGAACAAAGAAACCACTAAAATGAAAATCCTAGGCACTATCACTGATTTTTTTTTTCTCAGGAACTGCAGACATAATGGAAAGACAAGATGAATGACGGTGCTCTGGGAAAAGATCGAAATAAAGTGGAAAAATGCACAGTGCAAATTATCTACTTTGTCTCAAGCACTCCATCTTAACTCCCATTCCTTTTGCTGCATCACATTCTTTTGATTACTCTGTACATCTCCTTTAACACACACCTCCCTCATCCAATGTGTGTGCTGAGTGTTTCTTCTTATGTTGCTGCATGAACTAATGACCGAGGTTGACCAAACAAAGCCTGCCTCTGTGCCGCTGCCCAGGATGAACAACTCGTGGCTACGTTGGCTGATGGTGCCAAATGATAACAGCTATTCTAAACTCAGACACACACAGACAAACATAAAAAATACACACAATTTCATAGAAAACCCCAGTTACTTTTTCATGTTTGATGCATAAAAAAAACCTTTTCCTAATAATGACCAAGTACTACTAAAACAGACACACCCTTTTCCTAATAATTTACCATGACCAAGTACTACTAAAACAGACACACACTGATTTACAGGGCAAGTGACCATGCTACGTGACATAGTGTACACCTCATATTTATATCTGAACATTAACTGATATCCATTCACAAATACACATGAGTGCACACACACATATACACACACACACACATACACACATACATACAGACACACTGGGGAGTTAACTAGGCCAAGATTATGCATCGGTGGAATAACAAAACCCCCACATGGGACTGCGACCCCAAGGTTGAAAAACACTGGTCTATATAAATAGCCTGCCTTTTTGTGCCTTGGATAAATGTATCCAAACCAAACTCCAATATTAACATCACATCTTCATAAAATCTCCTTCAGTATAAATCAGTAAATCAATTGTTTTCCCTCCGTACCACGGCCTATTAAGAGAATTCCCAGTGTCTGTTAATATATCTGTCCTTGGTTGGTTGGTTGTCATCAACCTGACTCACTGTTACCTCAGTCCTGTTCAGATGAATGGACAACTCCATAACACAGTCACTGAACACACACACACACACACACCTGAGCCAGACATTTTCACAATGAGCACAGAGTGGGCACTGAGGGCTCCTACCACCTGGCATACTGGCCATGTAGACAGACCAGATGGTCCACATAGGTCCCCAGTGAGGGGCACAGCTAAGGAATAGCACCGTGTGTGGAGATGTGTGTGTGTGTGTGTGTAAGTGTACCATCAGAAAACGTCCACTTGAAATAGGTATTGAGTTTATCGAGTGGGATCCCCTCTTTTGTCTGTAGCCCTGAGACCACCTATTGAGGCCGCCGATGTGTGAGCAAGAGTGTGTTATTCATGGTGAATGCACTTTCATTGTCAATGCCCAACAGTGCCTTCAAGAAGCAGAGAAGAGCGGGAGAGTCACCCGAAGCAGCAGAGCTTCACCTGCGTCTATCTGTCCATCTGTTGTCTGTTCCACAACAACAGACATGGGTGTGGTCTGTAGACAGATACAGATTTTTTTTTTTTTTTTGAGAAGTAGAACACGATGTAAAGGAGCACACTGGCAGCGACATGATAAGAATTCAATATATGGTACAGCAATAGGTTGACTGCACACTAAACACTATGTACTACATTGAGTGCGGCTGTAGTTGCCGACTGCTGAAATGAGTTGATCACAACAGTCACCTCGTTTTGTCACTGCCTTCAGTAATTTGCTTTGTTCTCAACCTGCTTCATCTGGTTTCTAAGCTTTCTTTTCGCCTTATTATTTGTCCAGTAATTCATCACACGATAGTGGAAGATTTTTAAACGTGTGTGGCATATGTGTGTGTGTGTCCACTGAGCACAGAGGGACTTCATTAGTGCATTAGACGTGTTGTTTATGCAACCATCTTGTCGCTCTAGACAACCTTGAGCATTAATAACGGCTAAAAATAACACATGTCAGAACGCATCACGTCCAACTGTATTATAAATTAAAACATTTTCTGCTAAAAAATAAACGTTAATCGAGTCAGACACCTTTTTGCACCTTAATGATGTGAAGGACAACTTTGCTCTTTTTTATGACAGCAACTAATGATTCCTTTGAAAAGGAAAAAAAAAGCAAAACAAAAACAAAACAGATCCTTCTGCTATTTTGGAGGTAAAAAAAAAAACAAAACAAAAAAACAGTGAAAACTGAAAACTCCCTAGAAGCACATTTTTCCAGCACATTCAAAGCCTTGAATCGTTTGTACCCAGCTCTCACTCACTCTCAGGCACAGCAATACAAACAGCATTCAGCGCCAGTGTTCTCCAGAGGGAAAATGCAAGAAAACTGAAGCACTTTTATCATTGTGTCATTGTATTCAAGCAAGAATCACCACTTTGTTGTATTCTGAAAAAAAATCCCTAATGGGAAAACCCAGTTATAAAATTATTATCTTCAAAATATTATCAATAGAAAAGATGGAGTCAAGAGATATAACGCAGTGATTATAGCAAAAGAGTGTTTAGGAAACTGATGCAGCTATCACATTACAGGCTATGGTTCTGTGCTGGACTGCTTTCAGACATAACATGCTTTTCTGCATCTTTTTATTATTAACACCAGAAAAGATTTAACAACGATACAGTGATCTCAGTCTCTACTTTTGAATCATGATGGAATTTAGAAAGAAAGACATTTCAGCAGAACCTTTGCTTTTTAGTGGAAGTACGATGACATCATGAAGACTAATCGACTTCTTCATTGTCCTTTGGTTCTTATTACAGTCCACTGTCCACATTCAATGTGTGAGTTCATAATGTCTTGATGATCTTTTTTTTTTTTCAAGTCCTAAGAACTTTTGCTATTGTTTTGGGAATCTCTGCCTGGAGACAGCCATAACACATTTGCAGAACCTGCCGCTCTGCTGTGTCAGACCAACACATAGATTAAAACTACAAGCCCCAACAACAGAGTACAGTGTGTGCTTTCCCAGGTGAGACTCCACATATGAGTCGACCATGCGTGGCAAGGCAAGAGTATAAGATGTGCAGGAATGGCCATATAAATAAAGGGACTGTTGCCAGGCTAAGTGAATGGGTGTCACTTTGACAAATGCTCGGTGCTGAATCTTAGTCAACGCTGTATTGTTTGGTGTCTGTGGCTCCCTCATAAACACACATGTGAGGGCGCACAAATCACATACATTCATTACCATGCTCAACCGTGAGTGACAAACACACAGGCAGCGCACACGCACATAGACACACAGAGTGACAACACACCAACACACACACAGCCTGATTATACATTCATAATATTGAATGGATGACAGGTCCTGAGTAGCACGAGGGAAAACAGGGAGAATTCTAATGAGCTTCCATTTACCCCGAGAGGTTTGTCCTCCGTAGACTTAGATTCACACACACGCACACACACATACACACACACCAAGATGAGATACACAGTAATGAGCACCCAGGCTGAACACAAGCATATCACGTAGATAGAATAATAATTACAATGAATTTCAACAGTGCACATCCAACGTTAAATCCCAAAGAGCAACATTCCGACTAAAAGCTGGATGTTGACACTTAATGAAACGGTGACTTAAATATTACTCTGAATTACAGAGTGAAACTCGACACACATCAGAACATTGAAACTGACTCACAGAGCCAATTCATGGGTCCCTTGTCCTCCAGTGTCTTCCCACCTGAAACCAGTCACTGCTGCACAGCTGAGCTGAACAGAAAGGCTATTCAGCAGTCATGGCTGTCAAATAGATTGAAGGCGAGCTCTTAAAAGTGGAGGGTTCGGTACCAAGTGGACGTTGGACACCGCAGTTAACATTTATGTCCAACGTGACTAACATGACAATCGATGAAAAACAGAAGTCGATTTGCCGTAAATTACTCAGTAATGCGTGTCAAATGCAGGTCTCCTTGGCCACATGAAAGGGAAAACTGTCAATTACAACAAGCTCCTCACCTGGATCTACAAGTCCTGCTATAGACAAGGACATTCATCCCACAACCACCAAAAATAAAAAATGAGTCCTACCTTCTTCAGTTTGCCGTTCCGTGTACCGACAAAAGCCACCGTGTTGCCACGATAATCGTACGCAGCAACTGAGGTCATGCCATCATCCTTGTCGATGAACAGGGGGATGCCCTCGATGGTGCTGGTGCCTCCCAGTGGTTGGTTAAAATCCTGGCCACAGAAGTTATCGTCTATCTGCAGTGGCTGTAATAGAAAAGGGACAACAATCAAACAACAGCTTCACAAAACACAGCAAGGGTCCACGGGTTGCACAGCACTTGCAGGAACAAGTGAAAAATGTAATCCAGACTTCCAGAGCAAAAGTTTTCTTTGTGTGCTGTACGTAAACCGTGAATATTTATTTCCCTTTAAATTAGCCACGATTGAGCTTTAATCATGTATGTGCTTTTCCAAAACCTCCAATCAGTACTTCAGTACAAAACTATGGTGAAATAGTTGCACATCAGAGATTTTTGTTGTTTTTTAAACTTAATTCTAATGTGCTGACAGTCCATATTTCATCATGAAACATTATGTCTGTTTTATATTAAGAACTTCAAAGCGTAAAGAACTGGTTCCAGCCATAATAAGACGCCTCCTCCAACATATTTAGTGCTGCAGACTTGCCCCAATCACCACTTCAATATCACAGTGGGGGGGTGGGGGGTGGCTTACATTAAAGCCTCGTCTAATTTTAACACTTTTACTTGATTGGCCAGCATTAAAGGAGAGCTGTTTAAACATGGCCCAGTTATGAACACAAAACTCTTTGTTGCCAACCCTGAAGCATATAGTAGTATTCAGTCAGTAGTGATATGGTTGTAATGCTGACTACATAGAGGGCATGCCTGTGTCATACAGGGCAAATCGCCTTGGGTAATTCATTGACCCATGTGACGCTAGGCCCTGGCCGCACACACACACACACACACACACACACACACACACACGCAGAGCTCAGTCATTTGACTATGACAGAGGGTTCAAGTGCTGTGAAGTGTGTGGTTTGTTAATTTAACACACTCTCAGGTTTTCAGGGCGACTTTACCATCAGATTCACAACAGTGTGAGTCTCGTCATCACTGATAAACAGACAAAAGACTTAATGGCCAAATGGTTAAATGACTTGTTAAATGAATAAAAAAAGTCAGGGGCCTTTTAATACTTCATAGTAAAATTTTATGGCTTAACCATATTAAACCAGGCTAAATTAAATTGTGATTTTTTTACCCACAGGTTGTGTATATATAATGATTTATTAGTTATTTGTTAGTCACTGAAAAGAACTATCATGGGTTTAGAATTAAGAGTAATGGAAGCCACTTATCATGGTTAGCATAGTGACATGTTGTATAAAATCCATTCACTGTATAGAGTCTTTAACTGTATTGATTAACCATATTGAGCAGTGCAGCGAACAGGCCAACGGTCTGTGTTGTATCCAGCATAACTGTCAGTCAGACACCTGGTCCATTATAATTCAGATATACATTCTATGTATATATTTTTATTTATAGCTCATAGTCCAAATATAATATATGCTGATGCTGACACTAAATATTTATTTCTTTTGTAGTGAAACATATTTTGGACAGTGACCCAAAGTGTTAAGGTCAGAGCGTTAGAAAATACCTAACTAGAAGTTACTGACTCACTGACGACGAGTGCATCCAAGTAAACATTTTCATCGGGTTTCCGCTCAAGTCAAGCGACACAAGTGTGAGTGAGTGGACGCAGACTCACACACACACACACACACACTAACATTGAGTGTGTCAATGGCAGTGTAATCCAGAGTCTTATCACTACATCATCTGATTGATCCACCCAGGAGAAAGGATAACGTCCCTCAATCTCCCCATCTGCCTAAATTGCCTACAGCTCGGTGCACGTCAATAACCCTTTATTCTGCCTTTTTCCACTTTCTTACTCTATTTCTCCATCTTGTTCCACCTGCTACAGTAGCAGAGCAAACATCAATATCACTGTTTGCTCTTTTTCCACATCCATTCATCCCATCCCACCTAATCGGCCTGCACACTCTCTTTATCCATCTTTCCCTGGATACTCTCTCGCTGCTTCCATCTTGTACTCCAGTCCATATTTTTATCCACACACATGTGTAGGACCTTGCAGTTGAACCACATCAGTGATGTGGACTCAGGGCAGTGATGTCATGTTGTCGACAGGAATTGTGGGTGTGTTTCCTGAAACAACTTTCTTGTGTATCCAAGGGGCGATTTCTTCACTCGGAACAAAGGGGGCTGAGAGACGACACTGACAGGCACACTAGTAACATGTGCGGACATGTAAACCTGTGCACTCTCCAACAGTCTAACCTAAGTCCATGGACAAACACAAAAACTCACACACTCAAAACCAGAGATCCACCTATTGGAATATTTGTGATTTTTTTTTTCGATCACAATTTCATTCAATTGACAGTTTAAACATGAAGTAATGTGTTCTTCTGCACAATAAGTAATTATGTAATTAGTAAGTAATTATGTCATCATGAAACACTTCCCACAAACTGTCCCGAGTCACAGGTTCTTTCTTCAGTTCAACAACTTTCAAAATAAAAGTGATTGAAAGGCGCTGAATAAAAAATGGGTCCCTGTTTAGTGAACTAAACTAAACAAACTACCAGCTACATTGGATGTGATGGATTAGGTTTCAACTTCTTCAGCTTCCCCAACGTTTAACCATACTGTTGCGTACATTTCAAACAGCAAGCTTGAACTTATGAGAGTGAGCCTCCTCTCTTGTCTAGACTGAACGCATGCACAAAATAATCATTGGTAAAATGTGCAAGGTATTAAAATGAACGGAGATAGATCCTATCAGAAAACTGATCCAAACAGTCTTCATATGACAAGTAGGGCAACAACTTTGAACTATTTAGTGGGGTTATGAGAAGCAAATCCATTAGTCTGGATTAGAGGTGATCTTGTAACGTCTGACCCGAATAAAAAACGAGCCTCGTGGCATCGTATACATATGTATACGATGCCTCTTAGCCTCCATAAGGGCTGACACTGGTGCATACACAGAAAACAGGAACTCAAGTGCATCTCTCCGGGCCACTGAGTGGTGGAGGTGCAATAGCAATCCTGCAGGTGTGCACACTCATAACAGCACAGATCAACGTGAAATAAAAGTGGTTTCTCCTGAGGTTGGAAAGCAGTTTGATGAAAGCTGCAGTGTGATGTAGGTTTCTGCATGTCAATGCACAAAACGATTCAATGAGCTGTATCTGAGGCCGTGTTCAGTATGGAGAGAGTGTTCTCATCTGCGGTCTCTGCAGGGTTACTGGCTGCGGACTCTGCAGTGTTTTCAAAGATACGGAACTCCACTGGGGATCAAAGAGTTAGGCCGACCGCTTTCCCTGACGTTGGCAGCAGAGTCCTACCAATGCAGAAGGGAGCTTGTTTGGATTCAAACAGCATGCACGCAGAACACTGAATGAATTTGCCGATTTACTCGCAAATGGCGCTTTCCACAAAACATCCAAGCTTCGGTTGCATTGTTTTTCTACCTATTAACTGTATTAATTTAAAGGAAAATCTAAATCAGATGAAGTTCAACAAATTTCCATTTAAGATCTCTTCAGGGATCATCCTTTAGGGATCAAACCTTCTGATTAAACAGAATTTAACAACGCTTCACAAACACACAGTGATTAATCTAGTCATAGCCATTCGATGTGTTTGAAGCCTTAGAGAGGAACTTGACTTACCCTCACATTTACTCAAATGAATGGGCATCAGTTCTGGTCAAACACTGACAGCCAGCTGGTGTAATCACTATGATAAAGCTGGAACATTTGACCCTGGACCCTGAAGTAAACACTGTCCCACATTCTGATGCCTCGGTGAGGTTTAACAGGACATGATATGAGGCCAGAGCAATGAGTTATTATCCTATATACTGGGTGGGAGTATATACAGTAAAATGTGAGCTGTCAGCTGATATTCAAGGTCACAGAAAAATATGCAACTGGATATGGCTGAAACAATATATGGAGACTGCACACAAAGACGGACAGACACAATATATATATATATATAAAACCATACTGGCCTCAGGATATGGGTAGAGATGGAGTATTTTTGAAAAGAGTCACAACTGTGTTCGACTACTGCGCTGTATTCACAGTATGACAAATACATGTCCTTCATGTGGACTGGTGCATGTGTGTGTGTACACACACACTATAACTCCGTGATTACTCCTGGCCTGGGCTGGTCTCTGACTGCTGTTCCTTTAACTCCTACATTAGGAAAACAGTCTGTAAACACTGAACACTGGCCTGAGGTGGAACTTGTCAATAGTCACCTCCATTCAGTCAAGCTCTGGGCTACAGCTTAACACAACGTGGGCTTACATTTAAGAACATACCAGGTGTTGTTGATGGAACCACCTTCTGTGAGTTCAGGCCAGGTTTAAGGAAAACATGTCCACAAACACCCAAACACTCATTCACCTAGTGTGATGAACAGACCCCTGAAGGTAAGTGCTGAGACATTTAAAAAATACAAATACACACAGTTTTTGATCGTGGAAAAGGGTGTGGGTAGAATGACTCTGTGTGCAAAAACGCACACCACCAAATGCTGTGTTTTTTATTTTTATTTGTTGTTGCAGCGTTAGGTACACATTGAGTTGACATTGTGTTTCCAGACGTAAGTGATTTTTTT